TCTGCGGAGCTTCAGTTGGCGGACAAAATGTCTTGATAAACTCTGAAATTCATTTTCCCATCAATGACAACAATCCGTCCAGGCCCTGAGGCAGCAAAGCAGCCCCAAACCATGATGCTCCCTCCGCCATGTTTTCACAGTGGGATGAGGTTTTGATGTTGGTGTGCTGTGCCTTTTTTTCTCCTCACATAGTGTTGTGTGTTCTTCCCAAACAACTCAATCTTGGTTTCATCTGTCCACAGTATATTTTGCCAGTAGTGCTGTGGAACATCCAGGTGCTCTTTTGCAAACTTCAAACGTGCTACAATATTCTTTTTGGACAGCAATGGCTTCCTCCGTGGTGTCCTCCCATGTACTCCATTCTTGTTTAATGTTTTCCTTATTGTAGATGTGTCAACAAAAATGTTAGCATGTGCCAGAGATTTCTGTAGGTCTTTAGCTGACACTCTGGTATTCTTCTTTACCTCATGCAGCATTCTGCGCTGTGCTCTTGCAGTCATTTTTACAGGACGACCATGCCTAGGGAGAGTAGCAACAGTGCTAAACTTTTTCTCCATTTGTAGACAGTCTGTCTTACCGTGGACACATGAACATCAAGGCTTTTGGAGATACTTTTGTAACCCTTTCCAGCTTCATGCAAGTCAACAATTCTTGATCATAGGTCTTCTGAGAGCTCTTTTCTGCGAGGCATGGTTCACATCAGAGAGTGCTTCTTGAAACCAGTTAAACCCAAAACAGGTGTGTGTTTTTTTAAGGGCAGGACAGCTGTCAGCAAACACATCCAATATCATCACACTGATTGGAGTCAAGGTTGGCTCACTCCTGGCTCCAATTAGCTCTGGGAGAAGTCATTAAGCTAGGGACTCACATACTTTTTCCTCCCTGCACTGTGAATGTTTACATGTTATGTGCAATTAAACCATGGGAACATCTAATGTTTGTGTAGTATTATGTTCAGCAGACTGTGTTCTTCTATTGTTGTGACTTAGATGACGTTCAGAGCACATTTTATGCCCAATTCATGCAAAACTCCACGTAATCCCAAGGGTTCACATACTTTTTCTTGCAACTGTATATATATGTATATATATATATATATATATATATATATATATATAAAATAAAATGTGTGTGTGTGTATGTATGTATATATATTTATTGGGTAAAAATACGCATTGAACACGTCACCATTTTTCTAGGTAAGTATATTTCTAAAGATGCTATTGACGCAAAATTTTCACCGCATCAGTAACAACCCATGTAGTCCATACATACAACGAAAGCACACAACAAATAAGCTAAGAAATTAAGTTATGTGTAATAAAATGGAATGACACAGGGAATACGTACTGAACACATGAAGAAAGGAAGTGCAAAAAGGCATGGAAAGCCAAAACACCAGCTGAAATCAATCAGTAATTTAGAAAGCAATCCTGCCCCTTGTCAGTGCAAATTAATATCAGCTGGTTCAGTCTCAACTGATGGCCTTATAAAAATGTGTTGTCTCATTACCAAGGTGTCGGACAAAAAACATCTCATGATGGGTAAAAGCAAAGAGCTCTCTCAAGAACTTTGCAACTTTATTGTTGCAAAACATACTGATGGCATTGGTTACAGAAAGATTTCTAAACTCTGAATGTTCCAGTTAGCACTGTTTAGGCCATAATCCAAAAGTGGAAAGAACATCATTCACCCTAAACTGGCCACAACCAGGCACTCCTCGCAAGATTTCTTACAGAGGAGTTTAAAGAAATATCAGAAGAGTTGTCCAAGAGCCAAGGACCACTTGTAGAGAGTTTCAGTAAGACCTGGAATTATCAGGTAGAATTGTAGTGCACTCAACCGCCATGGCCTGTATGCACACTCACCATGCAAGACTCCATTGCTGAAGACAAAGCATGCTGAAACTCATTTAAAGTTTGCTGCACAACATTTAGTCAAGCCTGTGAAATACTGGGAGAATATAATCTGCTCAGATGAGACCAAAATTGAACTCTTTGGATGGTTTGAGGTCAAATAGCACTTCACATCACCCCAAAAACACCATACCAGCAGTGAAGTTTGAAGGTGGGAACATCATGGTGTGGAGCTCTTTTTCAGCATATGATACTGGCAAACTTCATATCATTGAAGGAAGGATGAATGGAAAAATATACGAAGACATTCTTGATAAAAACCTGCTGCCATCTACCAGGATGATGAAGATGAAATGAGGGTGGACATTTCAGCAAGAAAATTATTCCAAACACAAAGCCAAGGAAAGTCTCAATTGGTTTCTAAGAAAGAAATGAATGCTAGAATGGCCCAGCCAATCACCTGACTTGAATCCAATAGAAAATCTATGGAAAGAACTAAAGATCAGAATTCATAGAAGAGACCCATGGAGCATTCAAGATTTGAAGGCTGTGTGCAAGAATGGACTAAAATCAAACTTCAGCAATGCATGCAACTAGTTTCTCCATACAGTGACGCATCTTGGAGCTGTCATTACCAACAAAGGATTTTGTACAAAGTGTGAAATAAATTTCAGTTAGTGTTCAATACTTTTTCCCTGTGTCATACCAATTTTTTTACACATAACTTAATTTCTGAACTTATTTGATTTGGATTCTTTGTATGTATGGATTACATGGGTTGTTACCGACATGTGGTGAAAATTTCCTGTCAATAGCACCTTTAGGAATATATTTACCTAGCAAAATGGTGACGTGTTCAATACTTACCCGCTGTATATATTCCCTGGAGTAAAGCACCCATTTATCAATTAACACTCCTCATGTAACAATTTTGGCAACTCTTGCAGAAATAAATAAGCTGTGTGTGCTAACCTAACAACTCTTTACCTAACAAGAAAAACAAACCTATAACACTTTCCGCCACCATCACCACTACCATTATCATTCACACACTTTAACCCCTTCATGCTGACATAACACAAATATGCGCCCTCACAGAGTTGAGCTTTTTTCCATGGGGCCACATATTTGCGCACCTGTCTTTGTGCTGGGAACGCGCTGCACAGTGTGCTCCCAGCACAAAGACCGGAGTGTGTCACTGAAAGCCGCGGGTCCCATTCTAACGATCAGGACTCGGGACTCCCGATTCCGGGTCACATGATTGATGTGATAGCCTCTGATTGGCTATCACAGTGATCAGTCACTGTACAGCCAACCCCCCCTTGTTTTTTTGTATTCTCTCCGAATGGAGGAGAGAGATACATTGTATCTCTCTCACCTTGCAGAGAGAAAAAAAAACAACTATTTGTTAAAAAAAATTAACATAAATAAATATAAAAAAAATAAAGAAAAATACCTAGATCAAGGTTTGATCTAGTTCAGTACCAGGGGTAGTGTTTGGGTCAAGGTCAGGGTCAAAGGTCAGGATTTTTTTTTTTTAAACTGGTATCAGTGTCAGTGTGGTTTAAGTAAGAAAAAAAAGCAAAAAACAAAATGCGCACTATTGTTTCTGGGCCGTACTACAGGTACGAACAACAAATAACATACACATATATGGTATCGCTGTGATCGTCAAGAGCTGGAAAATTTATTTTGGGTTGTTCTTTGATGGTAGATTATGGTAGTAACAAGAAACACAGCTAAATTTAAAAAAAATATATATATTTTTTTTACTATTTTGGGCCAGTTTTCCTTTGATAATAAAAAAAAAATCAGGACATTTACCATTTACCACCAAATGAAAGCCCAATTTGCCCTGAAAAAAAAAAACAAGATATAATTCACCTGGATGTACAAAGTAGTTGTGATGATATGTACGGTTTTACTAACACAGGTCAAAGTTGCAAAATTGTGCTTAGGGATTAAGATTTGTTTTACCCTTAGGTGTGAAGGGGTTAAACTTAACCTGGCCACTTACATTTAACCCTTACCCCAATACTGTAACATGTTACACAAATTGAACTTATCCTCTAACCTAACCCATAGGGTGAGCCCTTTTCTTACTAAGTTGTGAAGCAGGGATAAGTGTGACCACCCTGGACCACTAATAATAGCAGTAGCAGTAGTAGTAAAAAAAAGTCATCAATGTCAACTGTATTCCCATTGTGTGGAAAAATACAGGTTTTATCTGTCCAATACAGATTACATCAGAAAGATCAATGAAAGTAGAACTTTTTTTAATCAGCCTGTTTTGACTTCTACCAGCGTAGTTGTGATGATGCAGGTTTGTAATTTTGATTAGATCAAAATGATATGATAAATTGATCTGGATAATGCTATGTGATCTGTTTCCTGTCATTTATGTTTCTGCTGAGCAGGGGTGTTTTTTTTTTTTTTTTTGTTATTTCTTACCATAATATAACATTGAGCTCAGGAGATCAGGGGATCGTTTATTAAAACTACAGCAACACCTACTACACTAAGACAACTGTGCCCACTTCTCATTTCTTGATTTCTTCTTTCTTAAAGTGGTTGTAAACTTTTACATACACCCAGTGAAGGGAATAGCCTCTGGTGATACACAGCGATTAAACAAATCCTCCCACATAAGTTGTACCTGTTTATCTGCTCCCATTTGTCCTATACATCCTTGTAATGTGATGAAAAGGATTTTTCACAGACTCACAAAGCAGGGGGCAGAGGTCTGCAGTTACACACTGTACTGCTACAAGAGCTTAATGGAGGGAAGGGGCTCACCCCCCCTTCACACAGCACACAGGAGCGAAGCTGAGGCTGTCAATCATATGCTGGAGATCCCTCCCTTGTCACCTTTTAGCTCTTGGTGTCAAGAAAACTTGTCAGAAGTGACTCGTGATTATATCAGAGGAACTAGACAGCAGCGAGAAATGTTGGTGCTTTGAAGAGGCATGTAAACACAATAGAAATATGTGCTTTGTTCAGATTTCATATCTGAGGTTTACAGCCACTTTAATATATTTAAGAAAACATTTGTATTGCATAATTTTGAAGTAGATTTTTGCATGCAGTGAAAGTAAAACTAATGAAAACATGACCTTTTTTTTTTTTTTAAATTGTTTCTTTCAGTGAGCAGTACAAACTATTTACGCCTGCCCAGCAGCGGGAGAAAAGAGGGACAACATGCTCGTTTAATAAGCCCCAAAATGCACCAGCACAGGTGTGTCCTCTGCTTGGTGTTTCACTATCGTGCTTCAGGAACTAGTGGTGGAACGTTACAGGTGCTAAGAAGATCTAGCCAAGGGACCAAGTTACTGTGGAAAATTAGAGAGGAACCAGGAGGTGAATGGAAAGATGGCCATATCCTCTTGCAAAGCGATGAGGGAGATTATCAGGTATGTAAAACTGTAGCTAATGCTAGATTAGATCTATTTTATGCAGAAATTGTTAATAAAGATATTCTCTTCAGCAGACATGGCATTGTTAATTACATCTTAAATATCTTAACCAAAGTCAAACCTTTCTTTTAGTTTTGGATAGAGAGGAGAGGGTTTAGAACTCCTGGCAGTTTTGATTGCTGTCTGTTCCACTCTTAGGTTCCATGTACACTGGACACTTCTGAACGATGGAAACTGACTGCTGGAAAACATAGGTTAAAAAACGTCAGTTTTGCCGCGTTTGCATACCGCGTTTATGAGCGTTTGCGTTTAGAAGCGTTTTTTAAAGATAACCTGAAGAGACCTTCCAGAATGCACTGGAAAACAGTAAAAAAAATTAACTATTTCAGACATTTTGAGAGAAATAGAGAGAGCAGAAAAGGGGAAGCTGTATTTGTTTAGATTTGCTGTCTTTTTTTTTGTGGTGTTTGGATGTGTTCCAGCTAATTTCTGTGCAGAAATTATTGCAGCAGTGTCCAACATATTTTCTTTCATGCGAAACCTCAAAGTATGGTGTACCAGGTCCATTTGAGTACCGGAAAAACACTTTGCATGCATTTTTCATGAAAAAAGGCTCTGTACAGCATCTGGAAATGGAAGAGTTAAAAAAAAATTCCAAGCAGAAACGCTTATAAACGTGGTTAACCACGTTTACAAGTGTTGGGCGTTTAAATCGCTGATAAAATCTACTCCTGAACGCAAGTTTGGTGCATTCAAAAAAACGACTGTAAACTCAACTGACTGTAAACGACATAGTGTACATGGACACATAGGAAAACATTAGGGAGAGTTCAGGGACTGCTAACAAAAATGCAGAAAAGCTCCTGAACGTGAGTTTATCAGCTGCAGTGTACATGAGATCTTAGGGAGATTCACCCTCTCTATCGGTCCTGTTTACTGCTATCATCAAAATTGAAAGTAAAAGAAAATCCCAAATTTTGGGTTGTCCCCAGAACAGTAATAGAGGGAAAATCTTCCAGTGAAAACACTAGTGACCTTGGGGCTCTGATTAATTCCATTAATTTGCATGGATTTCCTCTCACTTCCCGTTTTGGCTATGGGACGTGAAGTGAAGGTAAATCTCCCTAATAGGACACAGATGGCCAAAAAAAACTGACAGGTTATAACCCTCTCTTACTCCATATAACATGAAAAAAAAGTTTTGCTTATAGTTTTACTTTAAAGACATGGTAAAGTCAATCAAAGATATGACCATCTTAAGAACATGGGACAGTATAGCCAGCTTAAAACAATTTTTGCTAACAACCATATTACTTCTTTGTAGAATAGGCCAAATACAGATATGCTGCAAGAGACAAGATAAATACTAGATTCCTCTTTCAAAGCTAATAATAACCTCAGTATAACCAGTATATACCAATAGTCCGTAGTATATATCAGTCAGCAGTGCCATCTCCGGAAGAAGCCAAAGCAAGAACAGAGAATAAAAAAAGGCTAAAATATTAATCTGAGCATATATGGGGAAAAATTAAAGCAGTATTATTAAACCCAAAAACAAAAAAAATAATATACTGCAGCTTAGCAGTCCTTCAATGTGGTGGATGTGTTCGTTTTTTTTCACCTGGTGCTCCCACCAGTAACACACTTTCTGTCTTAGAGTATCTGCACTCCACTGGACGAACAATGGAGACACCTGTGTATGACAGCATTTCCATTTGGGGGGAAAGTAGTGTAAAGTCCGCCATACATGGATCAAAATTTCTTTTACAAAGAATTTTATTATAGAATAGGAAACAGCAGAGAATCAGTCAAAAACATATGCAATGACCAGCAGGAATATAACATGCAAAGGATTTGATGAATAACACAGGATATGTACTGATGAGAAAACATAAAAAATAAACTGCGTACATAAGTGCCGTATAGGAAGAAAACACAATAAATTGCAGAAATGATAGACATTTAGAGACCAATAACATAATAAACTCTAAGGAAAAATTGTTGCTGTATCAGCATACAAAATGCGAGAAGAATAGGAGAAGGAGCCTCTCTGAATAAGAGAGGTACTTAACACGCAGGGCTCCCAAAGGAGTCCAGCACATGGATGCAGTATAGCTGATACGGGGCTCAAAACAGGAATCACAACATGGATCAAAATTTCAATCCCTGTTTAGGCAGGGTGGCTGTACAGAACAGGGGTGGACTGACAACTCATGGGGCCCCCGGGAAATTAGGGATCATGGGGCCCCTGTGCCCTTGCCCAAACTCAAAAAAGCCTATGAAAAAGGTACCAGGGGCATCTCATGGGGCCCCCTACTGACCCCGGGCCCTCAGGCAGTGCCCGAGTTTCCAAATGGTCAGTCCGCCGCTGGTACAGAAGTCGATCTACCCTGTTGCAACTGCCCTGTTGGAAAATTTCCACTTGATCAGCACTGCCAGTTTTAAATCAATGTATTCTGATGGCAAGGATGCCCCTCTGCTGTCAGAATACAAAGGCACAGCAGGAGGATTCCCCCATACCTCAAATGTGTGGATGGGGTAGATGAGTCATTTTATTTTTTTTTTCAACTCACTGGTTGAACAAAAAAAATGAATTGTGTATGGACTGCCTTAGATGCACTAGCAAATTTAGATGGATCGACAAACACATTAGTTCGTCTTTACAATAAGTTGAAAAATAACAGCTATGCTGGTGGGATCAACAGGTGAAAATAAAAGAAAACAAATGCAGCCAACACATCTAAGAATTGGTAAGATGCAATATATAACTTTTTTGTTTTTAGGTTTAATACTGCTTAAGGGTGAGAATCTTGTCCCAGGTGATGCCTTCTATTGGTCACATAAGAGCATATTCTTACTTCATCAGCTTCCTCTACATCCTATTAACAGTGACTGGATTGACATCACAGCAGTAGTACCATGAACAGGCTGAATAGCACTTGGCAAAGAGGCCTTTGAAGATCTGTTTCAGTCAATGCACAACATTCCTGGGTTGAGATAACAGGACATAATATTAGTTAATCAGGAAAACTGATTTACTTAGCTTGATAAACTGAACAAGTGTCATCAGCTTGACGCTTTATAACAGAATTAAGAAGGCAATTGGATCAAAGCGTTTATGCTATTAAAACATTTTCTTGCAACTAACAAAATACAGTTCTACCCTCTGGAGATACATTATCATGGCTGCTTCTGTTTGGTAGAAAGGAAGTTAAACAACCAATTAATATGATAATTGTAGACATTATACATATTTGTACTTTCAAAAAAAATTTTTTCCATGTGTGGGTATTTAAAAATACCCCCTTAACTGACATAATATTCATTAATGTGCATTGTTTTTTAAATCAGCTTCATGCTAAGTTTAACTTTGTTTAAATATCTACCTAATCCTTTAATCCACAGTGAGCATGAGAGTTTTTGAGTTGATACAGGCTTAGCACAGTGAAGGGACAGTACTTTTTCTAACGCACTTTATTTTCCGCCTTACTGTTGCTTACTTGATAACTGTTGTACCTAAGTGGCTGTTGTACTGCAATACCAGATTTCTCCAGTAGGTGGAGCTGCACATGAAATCTATTACTGTAGCTCCTGGCAGTGGTACTTGGCAAGAGCTGCAGAGTCTGGAATTCATGTATGTTTCTACAAATGAAAAACACAGTCTCTTTGTGATTTTGATGTTTTCATCCTAAAAGTATTCCAGACTGCCTTATCTTTCCTTTGTGTATTTTATCATTATGAAATACACATCAAAATGCTAAAATACAGTTACAAACAAATCACAACTGAAGCGCAGGCAAATGAAAACCAACAATTAGAAACCAGGTTCCAAGAAACAAAGAGCCTTACCAGATAAACTATTGTATTTGTTTTTTTAAAATGCATAATTGTAGTGCTAAAAGTGACCCTTTTCCCTGTCATCTGGTGAACAGGTTGTGTCTTGCTGCCATTTTCAATCCAACCCATGATCCAGACCATTATCTGCCTGTGTAAAGCAGCTCAGCTTGGCCATACATCCTATACGTCTGGTGGGCAAAGCCAAGTGCTTTGGCTTACCCACCCATAAAACTCCTGCCCAGTTATTGATTCAAGGAGTCTGGGCAGTTACATGTTATGTTGGCAGTACTGTTGTTGATTGTAGTTCTGCTTAGACTCTTTCTGTAAAAGAACGCCCATACATGCTCACATTATTAGATAGCTGCCAGGGCTATTGGGACAAGTAGTCCAAAACAGTTGCACTTATTTTACAAGCCTGACTTGTTTTCCTGCTAGTATTAAGCTCTCACAGATTACTTTTGGAGCTGCTACACCGGATAACATGACCAAACTTTCAGAAAATATTTATAGCACTTATATACTAGACTACATTTTAAATTATTTATTTTGACACGTTTTTCTATACTGTCCAGTACCAACAAGATGTTCATTTTAAAGTTGAAAAGAAAAAGATCAACAATCTTTTCTAGTGATTATCCTGTAATAATACGGGATTAGCAATGAGCACATACAAACATTGGGTATTGTTACATCTGGCACCGTTGTAGAACCCAGCCCAAGCCAGAATCTTTTTTCTTAGTTTTGGATAGATTGTAGAAGAATTATTATACAGTTTGCTCAGTGCTTTATAACGAGAGACAATACAGAAACAATACAGTTCAATACAAGAGAATTAGGAGGGTCCTGCTCCTTGGAGCTTACAATCTAAGATAAGAAAATCTTCCAGCTTTTTATTGTTGTCTATGCCTCATTGGGCCGGAGAGAAGAGCAATCCAATGAGATGCAGTCACTGATTGGACATTCAAACAGCTGTGGGTGCCAGGACTGTGTGAAAATAATAGCTGGCAAGAGAGATTTCTCCATCCATGCTGATTAACAAGGATGGAGGAATTGATTTTCTCTAATTTAGCCTAAGAGAAATCTAGCTATATATGGCTAATCTAAGAGTCTCCAACATGAACACAGACTGCAGTAAAAACAAAAAAAAAAACGAAGGAAAAAAAAGTTGTCTAGAGTTGGGCTTTACAATAAGAGACAAATCAATATGCAGTATAACTTTCTGGCTTGTAATTATTTCTTCTCTTTCAGACTTTCTAGAAATGGCAAAGGTTGAATATGGGCCCTGTAATATACCCGCTTATTAGTGCTGTGGGCACTTGTGCAAAAATGAAAGAAAATGCTCTATCAAGTTACTGTATACTGATAGTTAGGGGCGGACTGACCATTTGGAAACACGGGCACTGCCCGAGGGCCCAGGGTCAGTAGGGGGCCCCATGAGTTGCCCCTGGTACCTTTTTCATAGGCTTTTTTGAGTTTGGGCAAGGACACAGGGGCCCCATGATCTATTGCCCGGGGGCCCCATGAGTTGTCAGTCCGCCCCTGCTGATAGCTTTATTCTAAGCTTCAGTACCAAACCCTACACAAAGGGAAACAAAAAACAGAATTCATTTTGTGGATGTTTGCTAATTACGTTTTGCTACCTCTCTTTTTCCAGCTGTGCCTCTCAACATTCTAATTATTAGTATACGCCTCACCTGGATAATGCAAGTATTCCTGATTACGGTGAGCCTTAAATTTGTCTCAGGCCCCATTAGGCAGTTTTTGAAACCCGTGATACCTTGCCGTGTGCATATATCATGAGGTTAATAAATTGTCCACGGACTGCAGGAAAGAATCCAGCTTCCAGGAGATTTGAATTAAAGGGACAGTTCTGGCAGATATGCAATAAGAGATTTGTATTAAGAGGATTTATAGTGTTTATTTTAATATTACAGGAGAATCTGGATGGCTCCCATCGGAGACTTCAGTTAAGCAGAGTTGTTTTCATTCTGTTTCCCGTGTTGTTATAGCAACTAAATGGTACGCTGCTTGTTATTCAGAAAGCACTGATCTATAGCAGTATTTGGGTCTTTGTGGATGGCATTAGGCGTTTGATGTACTCGGCAGAATTTTGAAGTCTTGTCTTTCTACAAAAAAAAAAAAATATTCTCCACTCCCTGTAGTTTAGACATGCAGGTATCAGCTCTATGTTTCAACTGTGATTGTAATCAGATAGAAATGAAACATCAACCCAAACAGTCAGCATAAATGGAATAAAGACAACCTTTGAAAGGTACATGTGTTATACCCAATATGTCATAGGAGCTGCTTTTTTTTTTTTTTTTTTGCTTTTTTTATCTGGTTACAAAAGCTTCTACTACATATAGTAACCTTTTCTCCTGAAAGATAATTCTTGCCCTCTTATCAACCAGTTGAACAGTAGCTCTTGTCCAATATATATATATATATATATATATACACACACATTCACATAACTGCTGCTCAGGGAAAGGGAATAACAATGTCTACATGTGTACTTGCTTTGACGCATGGCTATATTAAGACTTTAAAGTAATAATCTTTCCCATGAAATTTCCATATTTATTAATGTGAAATTTACACCAGTAAGCTGAAGACCCACTTTTTCTGCATATTTGCATTTGAGTGAAAGCTTATACCTGGCATTCCATGTAGTCGGTTATATTCCATAGACTGCATAGCACAACCAGAGAACAGACCATAGTTTAAACAAAGGAAGGATTAATTTTATAGCTTTACCACTTCTGTAGTGATTTCTGAAAGGTGTGTGAGCTTTCCATTAGCTTAGCACATCTATGTTGAGATCTATTAAGAAATGCAAAGGGCTATTGAAATTCTGAGGTCATGAGTGTTTCTTTGAATCCAATGAGGACACAACTTGTACTGAACTTGTATACACTCTGTACATTTTCTGTGGCGTTGGGTTGTTCCAGTCCATAACTTACTAGAGGGTGATTGGTTTTGCTGGCCATGATAATGTCAAACCTGAAGTTTATCTCTACCTTTTGTATAGAGTAGGAATTCTTTTATTTCTTTTTGCTCTCTGCATCCTGTTAGGGAGATTTTTCTTTACTTCCTATCTTGGAGATATAACAGATAGTGAAGAAATCTCTCCTAAATGATGGGAAATCCACATTTACACAGCTGCCCCAGAAAAGATATCTCCAAGACATCCACTCTATCCTTTTTCCCAGTGACAACTGTAAAATGTTGCATTTCCCATCACTGTTATCCTGGTGACAGTGTTCATCAGGACATGTAAAAAGGGTGAAACTCCCCAGCGGGGAGACAGGAATAAGGACTTAACAATGGTCCTAACCTTTCCACACTTTTGGCTTCAGATATGCATTAAGTAAAAGTCAATCCAAGTTGTAAAAAATGTATCTTTGTTGGTAACATTAGTGGAAAAAGAACAGCTACTGTACAGACAGGTAGAAATCTTGACATGCTTTGATGTGAAAGTTAAAAAAGACTCATAGAGAAGATGGGAGAAGATTTTAACATATGGGATTTGCATGCATATGATGTATGTCATGTACTGTATATTTCTGTGTATCATTTTACATGTGTGGTTGTGCAGCTGATCAAATGATCAGAGCAGTTTATGAATCACATAGAAACACAGATGATGTAATTGGGTGATAATAAGGTGGGAAGATTTGACATAGATTGCTCTTGAAGTGACATATGAATGCATCCATTGGCAACATCTAGGTGCTAATCACTTGTCAAACATTGTAGGAGTCATTAGACTGTACTTACGAAACTCCTTCCATCAAGAAAATGTTTGTGTTTTTCACACATCTTCATATTTTTTCTTTATGTGAATGACGTAGTATATATCTATCTGTACATCCATCAAATAATTCATGCTCCTTTATACATATTTACGTACTATTGCAGATATGTTTTTCCCTTTATCCAATTGACAATGTATCCAATTCATATACATCTGCAGCCTATGGAAACAAAGTCGGAATGTCCTTTAGTGAAATCTATTCTGGAAAGAAATCCATAAACAGCCATTTTGGCATTTAATTAAATTGTACTCCTTCTGTTTTATGGCAGTCACTGTTTTAGAAAAGGCCACAGTTCAGAACTGATGCAAATTCTTGCAAATGGCTATTGAAAGGCTAAGCTGCTATTTTTCTTGTGCTGTTCCCTTTTAACGACAGACATGATTGCATTGATTATTGAAGAGATAAGCAACTGTATTAATCAGCAGTCAGTGAGGAAGTGCCTTGCTGCTGGAAAAGAAATTGCATTTTAAATTCTAATTGTTTAGTTTTTAACCAGAGGAACCCATAGCTGATGTGTAACAGACTTCTTTGTGCTTTTCTTGGTCACCTATAGCAGCAAGGATGCACTCAGCTCATTCTGAAAAATTAATTTTAAATATGAATCATGTGGATTATGCAATAAGTGTAGAATTGTATGCAAACACAATATTCAACACACTAACCCCCAGGCCACTTTGTATTGGGCAGAGGGGAGAATAGCTGTCTATTTACATCAGTATACGCTAGGCTAAATGAAATCCAATGCTGATTATTTGATTATTTTAAAATAAAGACAGAAAAAAAATGAAAATACTTTGGCTATATAAAAGAATTTGGGAGCATTATATTTTATAAAGTTGTTGTAGTGTTATAGTTGAGAAATGCATTCTGTAATCGTCTGTTAATAATGTGGATGCAGATTATGCAAATACGTTAGGTCAGAAAGGGCATACGCTGGTAGACTGATAAACTATCCAGTATTTGCTAGGGATGTGACCTCTTAAGGCATTAGTAGTGATAACTAAGTAGTATACAGATTAAGAAACCAATGGTGTGTTTACAGGCATGAAAGTATATACAAAGTCTCAACACTCATTGCTCTTATTCGTTCCTTTCTCCCCAAAGAAAAGAAAAGGGAGCATAAGTCAGAGGTTTTAGGAAACATCTCAAAGCTTTTATGTACATGGCTTTTGAAGGTTATTCTTTTTAGTATTTTGCTTTTGTAGAGTAATATTGACCAGTCAATTCCTTAATCTTTCTTTGCAGGTTGTCATTGAGGGAATTGTTGGAAGGGGCCAGTCAGGAGAGATATCTGTGGATGACATTCGAATAGCTAATGACATCCCCTTGGAGCACTGTATGGGTAAGGCATGATCAGACTTTTCTTTGTTGGCTAAGTTTCCTATCAAACAATATTTGTGTGCAATGAAAGTTCAACATTATGTAACTAATGTTACTTGCGGCATAACTAAGGACATTGTACATTTTGAACCCCCCACCCTCACAAACTAGACTTATAAATGTGCTTATTATTATTTGCAAATTAATGCGAAAATAGTTTTGGTCACATTGAGGGCATTGGTATTTCGACATCCAATCCTGTATAATTACATTGCCAGAAATGTTTTTAAATCAGTGTCTTCATAATAAATTAAATAAGAAAATAGAGAATTGGTTTTGCTTGCCCTATTGCAATAAATGACTTGTGGTCCAGTTGCACCAAATTAAATTACAACTCATCCTTGTTTTACTCATTAAAGTTCTGGAGAATATTTCAAATCCACTCTTCTCTTACTAACTCCACCACTCAGTTTAACTCTGCATGTATTAGTTAGCACAGAAACTTATTGCTGCCTTCACTTGAAGACCCTACGTGCCTTTTATTCTTTAGAGTAGGATTCAGCTTTCAGACTTCTGTCTCCATAGTCTGTCTTCAGAACCCATGGAGATCATAGGGTTGGCTTTCAGATCCATGTCTCCACTAGTCTTTGGCTACATGTAATAGCATACTACCACCTACTGTTAATGTGTGGCCTCCTTTATAGCAAGTTACAGTAAAGTGGTATTACCCTGTGGAAACCTAGCCCTGAGAACCCATAAATACTTTACATACCAACATGGACACTGAAAAATGCAGAGCTTCCAGACAGGAAGGGTCAGCACTGGAATCCTTGGATTCCATATTTAAACAAATTGTGGGTATTGAAGCTCAAACAGTTTGGGTGGCAACATTTCCTGACAGCTGTAATGACTTTGAAAAATCAGCAAATAACATAACAAAATACAAAGAATTATGATTCCTTATAAATCCAACTGAAGCGAGGCATTAATCCTGACATTATTATAATCTTTAGGAATGCAGGTAGATTAATATCCCTCCTGTAAGATTTTAGTATCATCAGTTACCACATTTAGCAAGGTGTTCTGGCATGGGTGAGCAGAATCAACAATAGCTAATGAACAAACAATTAACTAAAACAATACCAGCATTATTTTACTCAATGTTATTAACATTGTGCTTCAATGGATACATACCAACTAACAGCAAAATCATATTAAAGGGTTGAAAAATACTTAGGAAAGTTTTTCAACTTTCCCCGACAAAGTCATCTGAAGTACTGTGGTTATTCTGAATGACAGAAGGTAACCACAGTGGTTGCATAGGCTCAGGTACAAGGTAATTATTAGGTACTCATGATGAATAATATCCAGTAGTAGTCCAAATCTGCATCAACTATCTTTAGGTTCCATTCTATTACCTATACATTCAAATGGCACATATATTACCTAAGGAATGGGGTAAATTTGTAATTTTATCTGTAGGGTATCTGTGTTTGAGTTCCTGGGTCTGTACACCTGTTCTGAGGATTATGAGGGATGCCTTCCTTTTGGATGTTTAATTTATGTTATATTATGGAAAATGCAACTAAAGGCTTTGGAACATGTAAGAGTGGGTGGGAACACCCAAAACTCCTAAGTGCAAAAAAGCCATTGAAAACAACTGGGAATGATAACGGAGACATTTTTCAGTGATGGAGCACCCATTACATATGAAAGTACATGGGCTGACTCAACCCACCAGCCTACATTTATATCTAAAATTTCCCCTTTGGCTGGTCTGGTTCTTTAAGTTAGGTGCTGAGTTTTTTTTAGTTGTTTTATGAAGTTATTCAGATGGGATCCATAACATCTGGACCAAATATTACAATTTATTGTTTTATGGTGATAATTTATATGTGGAATTTCCACATACCCTATCATTCTGCAAACCAAGAAAACAATGAAGTAATATGTCACAGAGCCAGGAAAAAACATATATTTTCTACATAGAGATACCAATTTCTCTCAGGATAGGCAATAAGTGGCTGGCTGATCACCTTGGGATATGTAGTTCAGATGCTGATGACAAAATATGCTTGCTTTAATTAATGATAGTCATAGAAGCCATGAGAGTATAATTGTTCTGTTCCTCTCCAGGATTACATATCAACAGCAGGGATGTTGTTCCTGGTGCTCTGAGCGGAATAGACCAAGCACCTAATCAATAAGCAACTCTTGCACTCATGCCCGCATCGACATTGCATATTAAATCAAATGTAATGAATCCTGTGGGAGATTCGTACATGTATCTGAAATTAACATACCAATGTGGTTTACAACATTGCCTTTACCCAACATGAAGAACAAAGCATTTTAATAATAAACAGTAAACTTGAGAAATGTCAGAAATGTTTTTAAATTTCAGCAGGTCTTAAAGACACAACTGAGCTCTGACCTTGCGCTCCTTGAAGTGGCCATTGTCTGATCTTGGCAATATGTGAACAGTAAAGCACTTGATACTAGTACTTACCCCCTGCCTTAATTCTAATACACACCCCTGCCTTATCACTAGTACACACCCCCTGCCCTAATACTGATACACACCCCCTGCCCTGATACTAGTACATAAACCCTGCCATGATACTAGTACATACCTGCCTTAATACTAGTACTCACCCACCTTCCTTAATACTAGTACATACCCCCTGCCCTGATACTAGTACACACCCCCTGCCCTGATACTAGTACACACCCCTGCCCTGATACTAGTACACACCCCCTGGCCTGATACTAGTACATAACCCTGCCATGATACTAGTACATACCCCCTGCCTTGATACTAGTACTCACCCACCTTCCTTAATACTAGTACATACCCCCTGCCCTGATACTAGTACACACCCCCTGCCCTGATACTAGTACACACCCCCTGCCCTGATACTAGTACACACACCCTGCCCTGATACTAGTACACACACCCTGCCATGATACTAGTACACACCCCCTGCCCTGATACTAGTACATACACACCCACCCCCTGATACTAGTACACACCCCCTGCCCTTATACTAGTACACACACCCCTGCCATGATACTAGTACACACACCCTGCCATGATACTAGTACACACCCCCTGCCCTGATACTAGTACTCACCCCCTGCTCTGATACTAGTACACACACCCTGCCCTGATACTAGTACACACCCCCTGCCATGATACTAGTACACACCCCCTGCCCTGATACTAGTACACACCCCCTGCCATGATACCAATACACACCCCCTGCCCTGATACTAGTACACACCCCCTGCCATGATACTAGTACACACCCCCTGCCCTGATACTAGTACTCACCCCCTGCCATGATACAAGTACACACACCCTGCCATGATACTAGTACACACCCCCTGCCATGATACTAGTACACACCCCCTGCCATGATACTAGTACACACCCCCTGCCATGATACTAGTACACACCCCCTGCCATGATACTAGTACACACACACCCTGCCATGATACTAGTACACACCCCCTGCCATGATACTAGTACACACACCCTGCCATGATACTAGTACACACACCTTGCCTTGATATTAGTACTCACCCTTTCCTTACTACTAGTACACACCCCCTGCCTTAATACTGGTACACACTCCCTGTCCTGAAACTATTGAACACCTTCTGCCTTGATACTAGTACACATCCTGTGCCTTGATACTAGTTCACACACACCCTTCCTTAAAACTAGTACATATTCACTACCACGATACTAGTATACACCGCTTCCTTGATACTAGTACACACATTCTGCTTTAATTCTAGTAAACACCCCCTGCCCTGATACTAGTACACACACCCTGCCATGATACTAGTACACACACCCTGCCATGATACTAGTACACACCCCCTGCCCTGATACTAGTACACACACCCTGCCCTGATACTAGTACACACCCCCTGCCCTGATACTAGTACACACCCCCTGCCATGATACTAGTACACACACCCTGCCATGATACTAGTACACCCCCTGCCCTGATACTAGTACACACCCCCTGCCCTGATACTAGTACTCACCCCCTGCCCTGATACTAGTACACACACCCTGCCTGATACTAGTACACACCCCCTGCCATGATACTAGTACACACCCCCTACCCTGATACTAGTACACCCCCCCCTGCCCTGATACTAGTACACACCCCCTGCCATGATACCAATACACACCCCCTGCCCTGATACTAGTACACACCCCCTGCCCTGATACTAGTACTCACCCCCTGCCATGATACTAGTACACACCCCCTGCCCTGATACTAGTACTCACCCCCTGCCATGATACTAGTACACACCCCCTGCCATGATACTAGTACACACACCCTGCCATGATACTAGTACACACCCCCTGCCTTGATATTAGTACTCACCCTTTCCTTACTACTAGTACACACCCCCTGCCTTAATACTGGTACACACTCCCTGTCCTGAAACTATTGAACACCTTCTGCCTTGATACTAGTACACATCCTGTGCCTTGATACTAGTTCACACACCCCCTTCCTTAAAACTAGTACATATTCACTACCATGATACTAGTATACACCCTTCCTTGATACTAGTACACACATTCTGCTTTAATTCTAGTACACACCCATTGGGTCATACAGTTGCACTCCTCCTGCCTTAATACTAATATACACCCCTTGCACTAAAACTAGTTCACCCCCAACCCAACCTTGATACTAGTAAACATTATATACTTGTATATTTAAAGGAGATATAGTTGTCACAGCATACACTTCATTTTAAAACATCAGCATTGTAATAGCAATACATACAATATGTATTGACAATCCAAAATAAGCTTTCTTGAAAAATCTCCTTTCATGTTGTGAGTGCTGCCTATCTGCCGATCATCTCTTTCCACAACTTGCAGTCCCTGCATGCTTTGCAGCTTCTCCTCTACTGTTTACCTTCGGTGTCTAAGGACTTTATATCCCATGGTACCTTGCTGCCTGCAAGTTGTGATTCCTGAAACTCCTCTGTAGTTCACAAGGCAGGCTTTGTGAGATGTGTGACACAGCAGTGCTTACACACAGGTTATTGTGAATAGCTATCACAGAATTCAAGGAAGCAAATGTGTGGGATTTTCGCAAAGTAAGCTTACAAGCTTTCAGATTGTTCAGATTAATAGGAGTAAGTTAGAAATAATGGTTATACAATGTGGAAATTAATATGTGATTTTACATTTTGGCCATATATACACTTTAACATATAATATATTCCTGTTTTCTGTTATAGAACCAATTACTGCTTTTCCCCACCCAACAGTATATCCTGGTAAGTAATATAAGATAATGTATTATGTTTGGCTTTTTAATTGCACATAAAAAGCTTTGGTTTAGTTTCATTGTTTTAAATGTACACATTGTGAAACATACCTCAGTAGACATGGCCCTATCATAGTAAGTAAAGACCTGATTAATGTAAGGTGCCCCTATGTGAGACTTGTTTGGCTAATAGTTGAATGTTCTACTGAATAAACAGCTAAACTGCAAAGGATGACCCATTGCTTAAATTGCTAGTTACCTGGTCCTTCTGCTGACCCACTTTCTGGGTCTGTGAGTTACAGTCCAGAAACCTGGAGTCAGCCTAACATGCAGTCAAGTAACTTTGCAGAAGAAGAGGTCAGCAATGGCAGGGTTCCATTTAAAGCTGAGCTCTAGGTAAGTTTTTTTTCTGCATGATTACACTATTCCAGCTTGGGCCGATGTAAGAATACTTATTCCATAGTTGTCTGATCCCTGTGGAATCAGAAAATCACTGTAGTAGTTGGCACTACCACAGTGGTCTTTGCCGGCTCCTGGGTGCCATTCTGAGCTGCTTCCCTGCTGCAAAGGAACCACAGGAGGTTGCTTGTTCAGCATGAGCACCATTCATAAAATGCCTTGCATTTTTTTCAATCAATGTAAAGCATTCTCTGTTTGGACAAGGTGGAAATCACCCCACCTCTTCACCTTCAGGAAATGTATTGCATTCATTAGGAAAAATTCAAGGTGTTCTCTGAAGGGCATTCATGACTAGTATGTAGTCTCCTGTGGTCACTATGCAGCTGCTCAGCACCAGACCTGAAAGACAGTGAAGATCACTGTAGTAGCAGTGGCGATTTTTTATGAGTAAAGAATTCAACTCCTTTAGTAAATCGTCCCAAATAGGTTTCTTGCTTGAGATCTAATAAGAGAGAGGTCTACAGAAGCAGCTACTGTATTTTGTGAATTGAAGTAACTTAAACTGGCCATACATGGATCGAAATTTATACGGTTCCGCAGATCCATGTATTGCTCTGTGTTTGTACAGAAGTCAATCAACTTCTGTACAACCGCTTTGTCAGATGTTTACCATTCGATCAACGCTACAGGCTATAGCCTGCAACGCTAATCGGTGTATTCTGACAGCGGTGGAAGCTCCTCGTTGTCAAAATACATAGCAGGAAGGATTGCTACATCCACCTCAAATGTATGGAAGAGGGAATCGGGTCACTTTTTTCATTCAACCCACTGCTGATGAAAAAACTGACTCATCTATGGGCCACCAATTTAAAATTTATAAGTTATTTACAATAACTTATTGGCAAAAAATTGTCGCACTTAGTGATGTAATGGATCAAATTGCTTACGATCACCTATTTTATTACATATTAATATATAATATCTCCTAGATTGTAAGCTCCAAGGAGCAGGGCTCTCCTAACCCTCTTTCATTGAACTGTATTGTTGCTGTATTGTCTCCCGTTATATTGTAAAGTGCTGAGCAAACTGTTGGCGCTATATAAATCCTCTATAATAATAATAATATATAGCTTTTCATTATTTTAAGCTGCTCAGTCATGTATTTCACATCTTTATTATAAATCTGTAAATACATTTCTGGATTGAACTGAGGACACTTGGAAATGATAAAACCTATTATTATTATTATACAGGATTTATATAGCGCCAACAGTTTGCTCAGCGCTTTACAATATAAAGGGAGACAATACAACAACAATACAGTTCAATACAAGAGGGATAGGAGGGCCCTGCTCCTTGGAGCTTACAATCTAAGATCCATTAGCAGTACTGTAGACAAAGAATTATCATATTTGTCCATGTAGCCCTCATTATCTTCTCTTTGTCATTTACATTGGATAGCATGAGCATAAATATTGTCTACAGGAGACACAAGGGATTTGTGACCACAGCTGACCCAAGAGCTGTATGTTAGTAAAAGCTAAATTATCAATACAGTCTAATGTAACTGGTTTTTATCATCCAGTTGATTTTTGGTTGCATCCTTATCTCAGCAATAATAACAATACAATAGATGACCTAACTGTTGTAAATCTTCCATTAAAGGCTGAGATGAAAACAGAGATTTTAAATTGTTATTGTCATCCACAATATTGGAGCGCGCCATGCTTCAGAGCAATAGATTTTATGGAGCCTGTGTCTGTGAAATTGGATCCATGTTTTAGGGAATAGTATGGAGAACTTCATGTTGTGTTGTCGAATATAGCGTTGTGTCTTTTAGTCTAATAACATTCTCGTTGTTATTAACGTTGGGAAACACAATCCTAATGTGTCTCCCATTATGGCAGTACTTGGTGAGCATTCGACATTAAAACTAGAGGAAAATAGAGGAATGAGGCTGACATTTGCCTTTGTAATACAATAGCCAGGTGCACAGAGACTCCTGAATCAGATATAAATACATAATCCTATAATGATAATAATCTGCACCTAATTATAAATTGCCTATTTACATAGCATATTTAGTTATGGGACATGTAATGAAACAGTGTTTTTATGCGGTGAGCTATAATCAGAAACAGATTTTTTTTTTTTACTAGTAATCCTTAAGCCGTTGTATCCTGACAACAGACTATCATATTTCAGTATATTACAAACAGCCCAGTCAATAAAGTATAACTATTAAATCCTCATTTTCTATAGCAGAGTTTCTTAATCTCACTATATGTGACCCTTAAAAAACTGTCTACCAACCTCCTTTGCTGCATATTCATTTCTATTCTAACTGAGCTCTAAATTAAAGCTGAACAGATAAATATTCAGATGAAATACATATGTGAGTGCTGTTTACATGCCATAGGATTTGTATTTCGGTCTGTCCAGTCCTGAAATTTATACAACTACACACAGCTCAGCCCTGTCTAGCAGGGGAGGTGGCCTGATTTTTATCTTCTGCTGAATTTTCCATCCTTTGGCTGAACAGTGAAAGGAGAAGCAGCAAATTGAGGAGCTCCTTTCTCTATGGCTCTGCTCTCTCCTACTATCAGCATGCTCCTTGCACCACAGCACACCTTGGTGGCTCCTTGTGCCTCTTTGCCTGCTCCTTTCTGAGCTCTGCTGTACAGACTGTGCAGTAGACTGCAAGAGGGTGACTCCAAGTTGAATTCAGGTACTTACCCATCTTAAATTAAAAAAATATATATATAATACATAAAATGCTCTAATACATTTACATTTATGACAGAGCTGCATTCATTTGTGTCTTTTATATCTGCCTGGAGTTCAGCATAACTAAACCCACAAACAATTTTAAATATTGTAGCTTACCAATCTTTGGATGCGGTGGCTGCATTCATTTTCTTTCTTAGGCTTATAGTTTTTAATTTTCATCTAGTGGTTGGCCAGCAAACACACCTCCTGTCTTAGGGTGGCTACTGTCACTAATGTATCTATGAATGAGCTGTGTAGCCACCCTTGGACAGCAACATTGTTAACCAGTGTAGAGGGTAGGATTGGATGGACTAGTAGCTGTAGATGGATTTGGCATTAGTGACTAACAACTTAAAGCCTAGCTCCAGTAAACCCTTTTAAGCAGTTACAGCAAGGGCTATTTTCCTTTTGGAATAAAGTTTTTAATTATATCAATAAAAGCTGACCATTGCAAGCACTACTGTTAGTCTTAAGTGGTTTGTCTCAATTTTCTAACTGCAACTTTTGCTAGACAGGGTGGCCTGTTAAAGAAAGTTGAAAAACAACAGACTTAGAGAGTTGTTGAGAGACCACCGTGTTATTGTTATTGACAAACATTTAAGTCATTTTTAATTTTGGCCATAGTGACACGTTAAATCTTTGGAACCCTTGAACTAAACCAGTTGTCTCCAAACTGAGGCCCAGGGTCCATATTCGACCCTTTGCTTGCCTTTATTCGGCCCTTGGGGCAGTTTTCCTGCTACTGCTACAAAACACTATTCCTCTCATGACACCAACAATGGGGCATTATTTCGGTTACTGACATCAGCAATGGAGCACTATTCCTCCCATTGATTCCAACAATGGGGCACTATTCCTCTAAATGACACCAACAATGGGGCATAATTTTGGCTACAGACATCAGCAATGGAGCACTATTCCTCCCATTGATTCCAACGATGGGGCACTATTCCTCTAAATGACACCAACAATGGGGCATAATTTTGTCTACTGACATCAGCAATGGAGCTCTATTCCTTCCATTGATTCCAACGATGGGGCACTATTCCTCGAACTGACACCAACAATAGGGGCATTATTCCTCCCACTGACACCAACGACAGGGCACTATTCCTTCCATAGACAGCAATGATGGGGCACTTTTGCTCCCCCTAGAACAGTAAACATGTATTAGGGGAGGAATTGTTTGCATTGCTCACTCCCACTGATGCCAGGATAATTTCTACTCCCAGAGGCCACAGTCTGGCCCCCCAAAAGCCTGAAAGGCTCTAAACTAGCCCTCTGAAGTAGACCAGTGGCCCCCTTTGCAAGCAAAGTCCCTTTCTTTAACTTTAACTGATCCTTCCTCTCACTGACAACAATAATGGGGCACAATTCCATTCACTAACACCAACAGTGGGAAACAGTTTGTCTCACTGACTCCAATGGGGTATTATTCTTTCTCATGCTGAAAAAAGGTAGTAGGTTATTATTTACTTACAATGACCACAGATCCTGATGACAGATTGTCAACACCTCATGAGTGATGACATCTTTGCATATGCCACCTTTGCCCTTTGCATTTAGCATGTTTTACTATGCTATGCTATACACTCCACCACTAAATAAATCTGCCAGTTGACTATTTTTTTTATCTTTTTACTTAAATTACTTATGTATTTCATAACAGCTGCCAGAGTTTCTGTAGAATCCTGGTCCCCACAAGTCATTAAACTTAGGTTTACAAGTTGTTATTGAATTTCATAAGTACCGCTTATTTTTAATTCATTAAACCTAAATAATTAACCCTACAAACTTTATAAAGTACCACTGGAGTAGTCCAGAGCTTCTCAGAAAGTGAAT